CCTCTGATCCGTTTTGGACACTCAGTCGGCACAAACCCACCAGCTGATCCATTTTGGACGCTCAGTCGGCACAAACCCACCAGCTGATCCATTTTCTTCTCCACAACTTCACATCTTGATCATGCGGCCACTCGTAAAAATGTAGCAGGTGCTTTGCTGAAGTCCACGCACACACATGCTGCTCTGAGCTTTCCCTAAACCCTCCGTTTTAAACCTTACCATACAAAGAGGAACTACAGATTCCTTATTGTGATTTTTTTCTAGTTATTGCCAGTGTTATTTTTTAATCAATATTCCAGCTGAGAATTTTGCGTCTGATACGTGGTCCGTGGACTCCTTCTGGGTGAGAGCAGCACTCTGATGACCCTGCCCCTTCAGGGTCCTTCTTCCCTCGTCTTGAAGAATGGCACGTGTTCATGGCTGAATAGCTCTATGGCCTGGCTTGTAGGGCTTAAGACACCGCAGCCTGCCTTCATTTCATCCTGTTTTCTCTGTCTCCTGGTTCCATCTGGCAGTCCCCGGCTGGCACGGTTCCTTCTCTGCTCCCAGCTGTGGCTGAGATGGTTCGTCAAGTCCATGGCTCAGCCCCACACTTGTCTCCTTATCAGATGGCCACACGGCCACTTGCTTAGTGTTCCAAACACTTTCTCATTTTTTTGAGATATCGGGAGGCTGGAATTTTAATTCTCAAATCCTTTAACTTAACCAACTCTTTGAGTTCTGGTTCCTTTTTGCTCAACAATTCCACCTTCAAATCATCTCTCTTCCCCCATTTTGCTGTGAGCGAGCAGGAGGACCCAAGCCGCTCCCCCAGCATTTTGCTTAGAAATCTCCTCAGTTACGTGTCTGATGTCATCACTCTCAAGTTCCACCCTCCCAGAACACGAGGGCGTGAACACAAGTCCACTTTGTCACGAAGATGGCTTTTTCTCCGCTGTCTAGTAGCACGGCCGTCCTTTCTACCTGAGAGGTTGTTAGAACAGCCTTGCCACCCATGCTCGTACCACCATTCTGTTCAGGGTTACGTAGACATCCCCTAAGACAGGCCTTCTCTGCAGCTCTCCTCCTCTCCCGAGCCCCCAGCTTTGCCCTTCACGGGCATTCACACCAGCCAAGCCGCTTCCGGCATGCACCCCCAAACCCCTGCAGCCTTCGCCCAGCACCTGGTTCCAAAGCCAGTCCACATTTGAAGGTACTTGTTACAGCAGCAGCCACTTCTCAGTCCCAGGTTTTTAGTTAGTTTGGGCTGCAATAAAATTGTACCATAGGCTGGGTGGTTACCGACAGTAGGAATTCACCTCCCAGCATGAAGGCTGAGAAGCTCAAGATCAGGGCGTAGTGACGCTGGTTTCGCTGCGGACCCTCTTCTGGGCTACAGCCCGCCAGCGTCTCATCGTGTCCTCACGTGTGGAAGGGGCGAGCCAGCTTCCTTGGCGTCTTTTATAGGGGTGCCCGTCCCGTGCCCAAGGGTTCCACCATCACGCCTCGTCCCTTCCGAAGGGCCTCACCTCCAGACGCCATCCCTTGAGGGTTAGGATTTCAACCCATGGATCTGGGGGCACATTCATTCCATTGAGATGGGCACAGCTGCAGGGCACTGGTGCTGGCTCTGGGCGTGCGTGCCCAGGCGCTGTGAGCAGTGAGGCAGAGACGTGCCTGGTTCAGGTGTTCGGACTCAGGTGGCACAGGGCCCTGTCCCGGCTCAGGGGTTCCATGACCGTCCGCTGGGGACGAGGCCCCAGAATGGCCTTCAGTGGGAGTGATGTGGTCTGATTAGGAAGGTGGCCTGCCCGCGGGAATGGTTTCTGTGTCCGTCTGCGTTTACGAGTGGCGGCCAGCCCTTTCTGGAGGAGCTTGCGTTGGAAGGACGTGTGCTGTGGGTGGGGCCTGCAGTGATGCAGCTGTGTGGAGACGGGGCCAGTGGCCGCTGGACCCTAGGCTCCTGCCCTGCGCTGACCCCTCCATCCTCCACAGAGGCCTGTGGGAGCAAATCCGTGTACGACGGCCCGGAGCAGGAGGAGTATTCGACGTTCGTCATTGACGACCCCCAGGAGACTTACAAGACACTGAAGCAGATCATCGCTGGCGTCGGGGCTTTGGAGCAGGAGCACGCCCAGTATAAGAGGGACAAGTTCAAGAAGACGAAATATGGAAGCCAGTGAGTGCCACTCTCGTGCCTGCCCTGGATGGCCAGCGTGGTGGGTGGGAGGGTGCAGTGGGGGTGGGGCTGCAGGGAACTCCTGGGTGAGACCGCCTGTGCACAGGTGTCTGCCTGGTGAGGAGAATCCCAGTTGCACCTGGCTGGCACCTGGCAGTGGTCAGTGGATGTGGCCCGGCGCTGCTGGTCCCTCCTTCGGAGCAGGTGCTGCCTTTGCTCTCCAGGACCCCAGCCAATGTCTGGGGTGCCTCCCTCGCCTGCTGCCTCCCAGCCTCTCTGCTATGCTGGTCTCATGTGCTCTAGTCTCTATGCCGAGGCCTTGTTCTGCGTTGGTTGAGTGGCACACCCTCTGCCATCTCTCCAGGCGACCCATGGTGTCCAGGAGTAGGGTCAGCTGTGGACGAAACCCACTCTTGTCTCATGAGGCAGGTGTGGTGAGGTTGAGTACGTTCAGCCTAGTTACAGGCTGCAGGCTACGTGGTGCTTAGCTAAGCTCCACTCCCCCCTCACTCCATGGGACAGAGGATTGTAAGACCCTCCTGAATTGCTGGAAGATTGACTTAAACTATGTAAAGTACTAGACTGGCTCTCGGCCTGGAGTGAGCAGGTGTGTCTGTGTCACTCTCTCCATCCAGTGGGTACCCAGGGTCCACCGTGGCAGAACCCACCACACAGGCTTGTTCAGGGCTGGGTAAGCCCGAGAGCCCTGTGTAGCTGTACAACCTCCTTCTCACTTCCACCTTCCTGCTCACTCCTCTCTTCTGTCCTCCCTCCCTTCCATCCTCCCTCTCTCCTCCTCCACCCTTCTCCTCCTCCCTCCCTCCCTTCCTTCTTAACCCTTCCTTCCTTCCACCATGCGGGGCTGGTCTGGGAAGGGCAGTGGTGAGGCTCCAGGAGAGTGACAGGTCCCCGTGGCTCCGACTTGGACCGAGTTGCTCAGGGGACTGAGCCTGCAGCACCTCCTGAGTGCTGTGACTTCACCCCTGACATCATCATATCAGATCCCTCTCGACACCCTTTGGGGGAGACAGCCCCGTTTGCCTTCCAAATATGTTGCCTCGTTGATATCATCAGGTCCATCAACCTCATGGCCAAAAGCCAGCAGGTTGAAAAATGCGTGAAGCGTGATGCTGTTTGTTGTAGCAGAAGGTGCACACAAGGCACACACGGTATGAGATGCACACACACAGGAGAAGGTGCACACACGGAGGAGGTGCACACAGGGGAGGAGGCGCACACGGGGGGAGGTGGACACACATGGGAAGAAGTGGACCCAACACGTGGGAGGAGGTGGACACACATGGGAGGTGGACACGTGGGGGGAGGTGGACACGTGGGAGGAGGTGGACACGTGGGAGGTGGACACGTAGGGGCAGGTGGACACGTGGGAGGAGGTGGACACACGGGGGAAGTGGACACACAGGAGGAGGTGGACACACGTGGGAGGAGGTGGACACGTGGGAGGAGGTGGACACACGTGGGAGGTGGACACGTGGGGGCAGGTGGACACGTGGGAGGAGGTGGACACGGGAGAGGTGGACACGTGGGAGGAGGTGGACACAAGGGGGAGGTGGACACACGGGGGAGGTGGACACACAGGAGGAGGTGGACACGTGGGAGGAGGTGGACACACAGGAGGAGGTGGACACACATGGGAGGAGGACACACGTGGGAGGAGGTGGACACGTGGGAGGAGGTGGACACACGGGAGGAGGTGGACACGGGGCAGGTGGACACGGAGGAGGTGGACACACGGGGGAGGTGGACACGTGGGAGGAGGTGGACACACGGGGGAGGTGGACACGGGGGAGGTGGACACACGGGGGAGGTGGACACACGGGGGAGGTGGACACACGGGAGGAGGTGGACACGTGGGGGGAGGTGGACACACGTGGGAGGTGGACACACGTGGGAGGAGGTGGACACGTGGGAGGAGGTGGACACGTGGGAGGTGGACACGTGGAGGAGATGGACACGGGGGAGGTGGACACGTGGAGGAGGTGGACACGTGGAGGAGGTGGACACGGGGGAGGTGGACACGTGGAGGAGGTGGACACGGGGGAAGTGGACCCACGGGGGGAGGTGCACACACATGGTACGAGGGAGGTGTGCACGTGGGGAGGAGGTGCCCACGCCTGTTGAGTGTCCCAGCACAGGGGGACAGATCTGTATCCCTGGAGCTCATGCTCCACACACGTGAGCAGTCTCTGCAGTGCAGATGTGCACATTCTGCACACGTGCCACGGAGTCTCCGTGTTCCATGTCTGTGCGTGTATATGTGCTACACACGTGCTGCAGGGAGAGACGTGCACATGCACTTCCACGCCTGCCCCCTGTGCACACATCAGAGGCTCCGCAGGTGCCTCCGGGGCCCTGTGGTCTCTTTGGCTCCTCTGCGATTCTGTATTTTGTGTGGATTGCAGTGCGAGTGGTCACATTTAGGAACAAGAAAAGCTCCCGCAGCCATGGGTGAGTGCCAGGCAGCGGGGGCTGTGCCTCATTCCCTCCCCCGTCCCCCTTTTCAGGGAGCACCCCATCGGAGACAAGAGCTTCCAGAACTACATCCGGCAGCAGTCCGAGACCTCCACTCATTCCATTTAAAGTCTGCGGGACGCGCCCCGTGGCGCCAGTGAGCTGCCCGTGCAGAGCCACAGCCTTTGGGAGGGAGAAGAGAAGGAAAAGCACAGAGCCAGCACATGAGACGCAGCCGCCCGGCCTATGGACAAGTGGCGCTGGGGCTTCCCTCTCCAGAACCGCCGCCACTGCTGCCACACCCCCCGCAGAAAGCCCACGTGGCCTGGTGGACTGTGTCGTCCTTCGGTTCTGTGCTTTTGGCTCTTCGTTTGTGGGGTTCTGGGGATCAGCTGAAGGATCAGGAAGTGGGGGCTGTGCTCTAGCCGCAGCCGGCCTCAGGGAGCCGTGGCCCGTCCAGTCGGCTGTGACCTGCACCTCCGGCCGTGTGTGCGTCTGTCTCACGGTGTCACGTGCACGTCTGTCTTGCGTGCACGGTGTGTGTGGCACTGGGCTCTGTGGCTCTGTGCCCGGGGGGACTGCTGGCCCCGTCTTGGCTTTCGGCTTCATCACATCGGGACGTTCAGAGCATTACTCTCCCACTGTGCCTGCTGTCCAGGCGGCGTGGGAGGCGGCCTCCCTGTTCACTTTTGAGGTTCGTTTGATTCCTGGCTGAAGAGTCAGTTTTGTGGCTGGGAGGTGCAGAACTACACAGAAATCCCTGTCTGAGGCTGTCCTTGGTGCTTGGGGGATACGGGTTCTGTCCACAGAGTCCCTTGGAGGGAAAAGCGTGGGCTCCAGCTTCTCCAGGTGTCTGCTGAGTCCACAGTTGAAGCCCCCATTGTTTTGCTGTTCAGTGGGGTTTAAAATCAGAATTAACATTTGCCACCCCCCGTGGAAGTTTGACGATTTTTAAAACAGAAATGTGCATTTTTCAAGCTGTTTTTCTTTATGTTTTTTAAGGACCATTTTTAATTAGCTCTTTGATACAAAGTAACTCAGAACGTCAAAACCTATACCCACTAAAGGGAAGGCTGCCGGGAAGGCAGATGGAACAGGAACGGAGCCTGTCTCAGGAAGGCCAGCTGCAGGTCCTCAAGAAAATCAAAGAAGGGAAGACATTCTGAGTTTGAGGTACAGGGGCTTCAGGGGTGAGACGTCCCTCCAGGGCCCGTGGCCAGTATTGCACCTGCGTCATGAACCCCCAGATGCTGTGCAGGGCAGGGGCGGGGCTGCTGTTTTATTGGGGAGGGGAGCATCCTAAAAATGGGGTCCAGGCAGACCCCTCCAGACCTCACACCGCCGAGGAGGCCTTTGCCACAGGGCGTCCTCCCGGGATGCAGATGGCAGGTGTGTGGGAAGCGCCGTTTGAATACACAGCACGACATATCCTTGTACTGACTTCTCCCGGTTCTTGTTTGAAAATACTGTAGTTCAGACTCTTAATCTCCATGGCAGATATGAACTTTGTTGTCACAAAACTAGTGGAGGAAAATGTTGTAAAAATAGACTTTTGGACACACAGCTGTTGGGGCTGCAATTTTTACCTTGGATTTATAACTTAACGTTTCTGTTTATAAAATACTAGTGATTTGCAATGTATTTTACTGGCCAATTAAAACAGATGTTTTATTCTTTCTGAGGACTGGCTTGGTTTTCTAGGGGTACCCACTGGGAATTGCACATGTGGGCATTGGTGGGGGTACAGGGAGGAGGATGGCATCTGGGGAGCAGGATGACATTGCTGATGCCAGGCGACGTCCCTGGTGATGGGTGACGCTGCTCTGACCGGTGGCAGTGCCCTGATGACAGGTCACATTGCTGATGCCAAGTGACCTCTCTGGTGACAGGCAGTGCTGCTCTGACAGGTGACAGGGGACGTCGCTGGTGACACCCCAATGACAGGCTTCGATGACAGGTGACATCGCTGGTGACAGCTGACGTCTCTGGTGATGGACGGCGCTGCTCTGACTGTGGCATTCACCTGTGTTGCCTCGGGTGGGAGTGTGGCCCCGTGATACCCTCAGGAAGGGTGTGGGGTCACACCGTGCTGAGGGCTGAGGCTGAGGGCTGAGGGTCGAGGCCGCCAAGGGCCGTGGGGTGCGGCTGGAGATGGTGTCCACTCAGGGAGTGCTGGGCAGACAGACCAGCCCAGGCTGCCGTCTCCAGGAATGCGGAGGGTGTGGTGACTTGGAGGCCCTGGGAGGAGAGAACGGACTGCCCCTCCCGGCAGGTGGCTGCTGTACGTCCAGGCAGGAGAGGGTTGAGGGGGACTCTGGGTGAAGACTCCATGGCCAGGGACAGCTGCTGCATTTCCTCACTTCTCTATTCCTTTCCTTGCTCCATTTGAATTCCTCTTTTTTGGTAGTTTTGTTGTGAGTCAGCTCTGGTATAAGAAAAATGAGGAGGTGTGGCTCTGGGGACCCCAAGCCAGGCCTTTCTCCCAGGGAAGGGTGAGGCTTGGTTCGGCCTGGCCGGCCGCCTCAGTCCGTGGTGAGGTGTGGGGTCTGCCCCGGTCCGGGAGTGCTGTGGGTGGTGGACGAACCCTGTGGGTGGGGGCGTCCTCCCCGGGAGGCCAGCGGCTCTGCTGGAGCCACACTTCCCGGCAGGGCTTCAGACAGTGTTGGGAGCCAGAGGGCTCCTGTCACACTCCGGGCACAGCTGTGCTGGGGTCCACCCAGGAGGGCCAAGGTCAGCCCCTCCAAGAGGAAGTAGAAGGGTGAGGAGCATGAGGCCCCAGGGAACGTGGAGAATGGAGCCCCTCCCAGAACAGCCAGGAGGGTCCCACGGGGCCGTGGGAGGGGGGAGTGTATAGGGGCCAGAAGCCCCTCCGCGTCTCCCGCTGATACGGTTCGACTGTGTCCCCACCCAAACCTCATCTTGAATCGGGGCTCCCATAATTCCCATGTGTGGTGGGCGGGACCCCGTGGGAGGTGATGGAATCTGTGT